AATTGTCTTTGTTCCCTTGCTCCCTTTATAACTCCCACTTCATCTCCATTGTAAAAGCCTGTTCTTCCTCCTTTTTCTTCATTCATTTGTACACTTTGAGATTCATTCTCCACTATTCTCAGTTTATAAACTCACATCTTAGAAGAGTTAGTTCATTCTTTTGACTTAGCCTGTTCCCTTATGAGAACCTGTATTTACATCCCTGACCTCTTATTCTTTCAAATTTTTTTTTTATTTTTCTAGCTAAATATAGGACATTTCCACTTGGTCATCCTCAATAATATTGTTTCATTGTATTTCCGCTTTAGCTGACACTACTTTTCCAGGTTTCCCACCTTTATAATTGGCAATACCAGTTTCTCAGTTCCCCAGGTTCCCATCCCGGGAATTATCTTGGCCTTCTCACTTAACAAAATTTATCCTGGACTCTTCTCCCTTTCTTTTTTCCACTTCAGTGCATATGATAAACCCTATGAACTTTTCTCTCTGTTTCCTTTATTGGAGGAACGTTTTAACTCTTACCCCTTCATCCCACCTGATTCCTATACTAAGAATAAGAACTCAGGTGCACATCACCCTGGACTCAGATTACAGCAGCAGTGCTCTGGTTATTGTTCCTCTGACTTCCCCAATCCAATCCATCCCATAAACAATTTCCACAGAAACACACACAAATCTTCCTTGGCTATGTTTTTGTCAAGGTGCCTTATAATTAATTAATTAACTGATTATAACTACATAGTCATTATGTAGTTAATTATAATTAATTATAAATAAAAGATATGAATATCTTTGATACCCTTCTCTCCAGTCTTACTCCATTCAACAAGCACTAAATGAACCCTTACTATGTCTAAGTAACATGCTTGAATCTGAGTGAGATACAAAGATGGTTTGTCATACCATCGATTTGTATCACAGATCTGACCCTTCCAGACATGCCTGTATGTTCCTTTGACAAGTCATTCAAACCTTCTGGACATTAGCTGCCTCATATTTAGAGGGAGAGAGTTAGACTTTAAAGGTCCCTTCTATCTCTAAATTTCTCCTTTCCTATAATCTTTGCCCTCAAAACCTTTTTAATCTGATAGGAAAGACAGGGCACGATCACCTATGATTTAAAATAGATAGTAAGTTCATGAGAAATGTATAAATGGTTCCATAGATGTTAGTAAGAAGAAGAAGCCACTTTGTCTGGGGGTTGGGTAAGGGGAAAGGCTTAATATAGAGGTGGTATTTGGACATTGCCTTGAAGGAAGAGTAGATGCAAGTGAAGATGGGTTTGGTGGGGCATAAATGATTTCTACAGGGAATAGTATAGCAAAACTACAAATGTTGGAAGGGGCGGGGTATATTTAGAGAGTGTTGGAAAGTCCACTTTAACTAGAAAGAGGAAGATAAAAAAGGAATACTTGCCTAAACTACTGTCCCCAAAGCCGCTAACTAACTTTGTTAATTTAGCATTTCCCTTTACTACCCATAGGGTTCATTTGTATTGCATTAATTTACATTTTTTTTCTCATTCATAAGTTTTAGGTGCTTTTCTTTGTTTATATTTTGCTCTTTCCCCTTAAACTGTAAGCTCTATGAAGGCTAAGGAAAATAAATTTTTAGTTCTTTTTCTGTTCTTTACTATTACTATTGTCTTTTCTGTTGAGAAGTTAAACATAAATACATGAAAAGTATTGAATTGAGTTACTTAATGATTGTTACTTAACTGACAGTTATATCATTTATATCTCTGGAGAAAAGTTCCATTTTAGATCCTCCAGGACACCTTTGAGTTCAGTCAATCCTATGTCATCCTCATAATCTAATCCAAGAGTTTAGATTGATTCATGGCAAAAAAAAAAAAAGCTACAAAATCAGGACTAACTCATGTGAACTCCCTAGATTTCCCTGTGCTAGCTAACTCATATCACTCAAGGCAGCTTCAGGACGGAATGAATGGCCTTCCAACATAAGAGGATCCTATAATAAAGCCATGAAACTTCAAGGTGGTAATAACAGGAGTTTGATGATGGTGATAACTTAGACATTGATTAGACCCTGAAACTAGAGGTTATGATTTGATTTGGTGTATCTGGTTATGGGCCACATAAAACTGTCCCTACAAGGACACTATAGGATTATATTGTCAAATTGGCAGGAAATGCAGGTAGTTTCTTAGCAAACAATATATTGAGAATCATTTGGGGTTGATTGTGCAAATGTATTTAATTTGTGCTCCTCCATAACACAGACACATATGTATGTGTGTGTGTCTGTGTTTTGGAGAAATACAGTATTTGGTATATATATAGCAAATATATTTTGTATATATATACATATAAACTATTATATATGTGTATAGATATCTATATGTCTATATGTATACCTATAAAATATTTTATGTGTGTGTATACGTATATGTATATGTACTGAATATATTTGGTATGCCAACTGATAGTACCTCTATGGGCCTATGTCCAGAAGTGATTATTTGCATATGTATAGTATCATGTATATAATCACTTTTGCACATAGGTCCATAAAGGTACTGTCATTTGGAATATTGAAAATACAGAGCCTTAAATACAAAAATCATACTTCTCCACAACCCATAACATGTTTGGATGTGGTTCAGTAATAGGCAACACATAGACATTTTTAGAAGTGGTTTGATTGTACATGATGGTAGGCCACATTTCAAAGTTTGTCCTAAATAACCTTTATTGTATAAGTTTACCATGTATTAGGGTTATTTCATTTGTACTTACAAAAATTCCTGGAAAATATGTATATTCAAGATTTGAAAGTGGATTAGAAATGGGCACCAATGACATCTATTTATAATGATTACTTTACATTTCTTTGTACCTTTACAGTATTAGATTTCTGTTCATAGAAGTATGATAAATTAAAGATGACCTGAAATTAGATAACAGAAAGGACAACTAGGATGGGTTAGGTGGTATGGGAAAGTCCTGGCAATATGGAATTGGAAGCATTCTGAGTCAATAGTTTTGAGTGTAAGTGGATCGTAGCAATGCGTATAGAATGAGATTTAAGAAAGTGATCAGCAGCAGGGAGGGTTAATGATGATCAAATGGTTTTCTACATCTTTATTTAATGGAAAATAAATTTTTCTTTCTTAACTCTATCTTTCATAAAATTAGGTATTTTTATAAAACTCAGTGAAAGAGTATTTAAAATATTTCCAGTCACCAGAAGTATAGTTATCAAAAACTTACACAATTCTCATGCTGTCTCCACTACCTTCAGCTTTTGTGCTTGATCTGTTTTGGCATCTCTGTTTCTTGCAATGTTGTTCTCATTATAGGAATTAGTTAGAGACCTACTTCTGGAATAAACAAGAGAATGACCATGCCCAGGTAACCTCAAGGCAGATGAAAAGTAGAGCTGAAGTAGATAGGCAGCATCAGGGATATTTGGCAACACCCAGTGAGGACCCCACTAGAAGGGCCATGGTACAGAACCAGACTATTAACCACTGTTAAGAAGCATAACTCTGAGCCCAGAGGAACTGAAGTAGATAGCAGGGTATGAAGCCAATGGATTTGGGTACAGAGATCAGAATTGCACCTGGTATGCAAGGTAGGAGACCTAAAAAAGGCAAGAGTCCAGTTAATACAACTGGACTAGCAAGTTGGAGCAAGACCAACTGCAAAACTTACTCATTCTAAGCTTCCAGAGCTATGGATTCAGACATCCTTACACTTTGGGTTCCTATACTCTTACCATAGTTTTGTGCTTTTACATCTAAAAACAGAAGTAAGATTTTGGGTCATCCTGTATTTTTCTTTTCAGCTAGGTGGCTAAGTAAATTGAGCCTTGCGCTTGGAAATAGGAAGTTAGGAAGACCTGAGTTCAAATCCTGCTTCAGACACTGAGCCTGGGCAAGTCACGTAACCCTGTTTGCCTCAGTTTGCTCATCTGTAAAAAGAGCTAGAGAAGGAAATGGCAAACCACTCTGGGGCCTTTGCTGATGAAACCCCAAATGTGGCCAAGTAGAGTCAAATACAACAGCAAATGAATAGCAATGAGTCTGCTTTAAATGAGTAACAAGTTGTTGCAAATGTTGGAACTAGAGAAATTTAAGAGTCAGACAACCAGGCTGATTACTCCAAAAATCAGGGTGAAACATAAAATAATATATAGAACACTGAGTTCTTGTATCAGCTCTATCACTATCTTTGTAAACTTTGTAATCTGCAGGAAATAATTTTATGACTCTAAGCCCCAATATAAAAACAAACAACAAACCAAAAAAAAAAAACTGCATCTGTAAAATAAGGATTAATAATATATGCTCTATCTCAAAGGGTTTTTATCAGCTCAAATGACATAAAATATTGCATATAAATCCAGTTGAACCTTCTAAATGTTATGTGGATGTAAGATGGCATTGTCAGCCAGCAGCAATATGACAGAAGCTCTTGTAAGTAGGGACTATTTTATTTATTCTTGGTATTCCCAATGCTTAGTGTAGAACATGGTACATGTTCTACATGTATTTAGTGGGTATTTAATAAATGTGTATGAATGGAGCAATACAAATTGGGTCAGACAACTTAATTTCAACTCTCTCTTCAGAAACTAAATATATGACCATGGGAAAATGTATTGAACTTCTTTCAGCTTCAGTTTCTTCATCTGTAAAATAGCAATAATACAAGTATCTATGTCAGGGGTTGTCATGAGAGTCAAACTAGTTAATATATGTAAAGTATTTCACAAATATTAAAGCTTCATATAATTGTTCACTATTATTGAATAATCATTAAGTGCTTTCAACCAAGATCATTGATTTTGGTCAGTAGGAGTCAATGATAAAATGATACTTTGACGTTAAAATAAATGAGTTCCTCTGTTACCCTTAAGCAGTCTGTTATTGTTTAAATTTAGAATCACTTAATTATCTTCTACAGCACTTGTGTAGTTAATTATAGTACTTTCTGACTCTTAAAAACTTTTCTTTCTCTTTTTCATTCACACAGGAAATGACCTCTTTCTAGTTGCAGTTCATGAATTAGGACATGCTCTAGGGTTGGAACATTCCAATGACCCCACAGCAATCATGGCTCCATTTTACCAGTATATGGAGACAGACAACTTTAAACTACCTAATGATGATTTACAAGGCATCCAGAAAATATATGGTAGGTTACTATTTTATCAGGTTTTTGTTTGGTTGACCCTACACTGAAGTCTAGAAGCTCTTGTTATGTTTTACCATTTCAAATGAGATCTCTAAGTGTGTGGTGGAAGGGAATACCAGATGGGGGGAGTGGGGGGAGAGAATGCTACATGGGCAAAATATCTTTATCAATCAAGGCACTTTGGCAGTCAACTCAGACATCTTAATGTATAGGTTATGAGAATGTTTCTGATTTTGATGTAACCTGTTGATTTTTTTTTCATCCCACAACCTGTAATAAAAATTGCATGAAGGATAATATTTTTAATATTAAAATAAAGATATAAGTATCTGATTAGGATATTCAAATAAATAATAAAATAAGAAGAGTGAGTTGTATTCATGAGAAGCTGAGACTACAGCTCAGACATCCCAAGCATTAGTTCTCAGTTAATGGGTTTCAGTATTCTATTTCTCACAGCTACAGCATTATTTATGTTACAGAAGTTGATGAATGTGACAAATTGTTTTGCAAAGTATATAGTTACTAATACCAAATTTTGAATAATATAGAGTGGTAAAATATACATGGTTATATTGTTCATTATCTCAAATAAAGGCAATATCTGAGATAAAAATAATTTACATGAGTAGATTATACAAATATGAGCAAATTAACTGTAAGAGAAGTAAAAAAAAAAGTTACACATTTTACAGTAACTTTAACTCCCACAGTACCATCATTGACCTTTACAGATACATTTATTTCACCCATAATTGTTAAGAGCATGGCATATGTAATTTACATTTAGTGCATCTGTTTTGCTAAATTAATGAGGTGAAACTTTCATTCTTACAGTGCAAAGACAAATTTGTGTTGTCTGCGTGTTAATACACAGTAACCAGGAGATGTCATTTGCATTTTAAAATAGCATACTTTAAGTTCAGTAATTTGTTTTGCATTAATTAGTTTTTTCAACTTAAATGTCTCAGTGTTAAGTGCTCTCTCAGGATTAAAGTGGATTTTTTTTAAAAGGTCACAGTTCCTGCTGCTCTCTGTATTGTTGGAGAAGTCAAATGCCGTGATAGAGAAAATGCACATATCCTTGCCTAGAAGCTGAATATTTCTATTCTAAATATTAGAGCATATTTTTATGTCTATAGTGCTATAGTATGTGCTAAAAGATGTTTCTCTAAAGTGGTTAAGTGAAAGGTGGCTCTTTCTCATGACCTCATGAATTAGTAGTCTAGACAGAAGGTCTACACCAGAATATGCTTCCCATAGTCTAAATGCCAAGTGTTAACAGCTGTGTCTTTCATTTAAAAAAAAAAATCCCCTGAAAAGTTGTGTTTAATATCACTGCCAAATTACTTGTGCGAACTTTGGCTTGATTTAGAAGACTCCTTTCAAAAACTGTTTCAGAAAATTAATGTTTTGCTGCTGGTGTTATGATCAATAGGTGACAAATTCAATATTCAAATGAAAGCTCCTTTGCAGAAATGCATTAAATTATTTAAATAGATACCAAATTTTAAAGTTGGAAAAGTTATGGTGTTTGATCTAATACTCATGTTTAGCAAAAGTTTTGGTCAGTAAATCTTTTGTAATTATTTACATATATTTGTTATATTATTTGCTTATTTAATACCTAGGATTATGTTATATAGGTTTGTTATGCATAGTCTCTGGATAAACAGTGGAGAAGCTGTCATTGAAAACTAACAAATAAATTTTGATTGCCCAGTTCAAGAACATGGCAATTTAATATTAAATAGAATTGTATATTCTTTTTCATTTTTTTCTTTATATGATCTTAAATACCTCTTAGATCATCTAGTTGGTATCCTCTGCTGATGAATAATTGTTCTCTGTAGCATATTTTCCAGCACTATTCCAGTTTTAAGTGAGCCCAAGCACTGTCCTCATCTTTTCAAAAGGTCCACCTGACAAGACCCCTCCACCAACAAGACCTCTACCAACAGTGCCCCCACACCGCTCTATTCCTCCGCTAGACCCACGGAAGAATGACAGGCCTAAACCTCCACGGCCTCCCACTGGCAAACCTTTCTATCCTGGAGCCAAACCCAACATCTGTGATGGGAACTTCAACACTCTCGCCATTCTCCGCCGAGAGATGTTTGTTTTCAAGGTAGGAGGCTGTGCCATTTTTTTTTTTATCCTGACATTGAGTGTCTACATGGTTGCTTTAGAAAACAAGTTCTCATTCATCTTAACATCACCTTTCCAGCCCTCTTATAGTTAGAAAGTTAAAAAAGGAATCTTAAAAAAAAAAAAAAGAAATGCACATGGCTTAAATGTCTAGCAAAAGAAGATTTCTGTAGTGTTCTATTTGGGGAATGCATTTAAGTCAGCAGAATCTGTAATGCCTAGAAATTGAGGGTAAGTAAATGCTGCATGTTGGGCAGAGATAAAAAAGCATAATTCAAATCATGAATAGAAGCTAATAGGGATGATTTGGTTGGGAGCTTAGCCACTTCCAGGGGCTCAGCAGTCATTGTATCTTTGGTTCAGACATCTTTATAAGAATCCTGTAATTTCACTTTACAATTATATCAGAACTTTGTGAGGGATATTTGCCATCATATTATGATTTTACTGGTAGATATTTACATTGTCTACTAAATGGCATCTTTTCAGTATTGCCTGTTTTTGTGGAGTTTGTTACAACTTTAGATTACTATTTGTTTATGCATATTTAATGCATAAAAATAAGTAAGTTAAAACATGGTTTCTTATAGGTAGGATTTGTACATCATGAAGAGGCCATAGTGATCTTGCAAAATCCTTTAGTTAGTTTCCAGAAGACATTGTTTTCTCTGCCAATAATTCTAATAATTAGTTGGATTTATATATGTATATATATAGGTATGTATGCATACATGTATGTATGTATGTATATAGGCATTCCAATATTCCATCACCAGGCCCATACTAGAAGTCTTTTCAGACTTGCCAAAACTTAGGATCCACAGACATAGCCTTCCAAAAGCCAGAAGAATGTCACAATATTTAAGTATCAAGGGGCAGCTTGGTGGTGCAGTGGATAGAGCACCAGCCCTGGAGTCAAGAAGACCTGAGTTCAAATGTGGTCTCAGACACTTGACACTTACTAGCTGTGTGACCCTGGGCAAGTCACTTAACCCCATTGCCTCGCCAAAAAAAAAAAATAATAAGTATCAAGAGGATTACTTTAATTGAGGATTTTATACTCAATTGAATCAATGTCTTTTCTACAACTACTATATATATATACATATACAGTTTCATGTAATTAACATAGCTTTTAAAAACACTCTCTGACTTATCATTTGGTAATTCATTCTTTAATATGCTCAGAAAACTCATTACTTAAATCTATAGTAAATGCTTTTATAAATAAAGTTTTCTAATTTGCGAGTGAATAATCACTCCTTGATTAATCTGTTTTTATAAATCTATATTTTCCTATGTAAGGCTGACATGAAACTCTCTAGAGAAAATATTTTTGCTAATACATGGTAGAACACTATAAATAGCAAAGTTGAATGTTGGTAGGGTAAGACACCAGGGGAAAAGGCTCCAGTATGAGTGCTCTATATGTTTGGTAAGATAAATAGTGTGGGGAAAAAATGTAGGATCCCATATGGTAGTGATGGTTAAGGAGGGGTCTATGAAATAAGATCGTCTTTGGGATTGTGCGTGGTGTCATAGGGCAATTGTTTCAGACATCTTTTCTAGGAATAGTAGTATTCATTTGATTATTGTTCCTAGAGCCAGAGGTTGGAAAGTTGTGGTGATGGAGAAGAAAGTATGGGTGTGATAGAATAGATTAAAAATAGATGCTATAGCAGCATTGTGATAGACATGGATTGAGTTAGTTATAAAGAATTCTCACCAGTCAGAAGCAAAGGGCCCCAGTGCAGGAGCTGAAGAGTGCAGTTGGAGATAAGAAGGCATGGCATGAAGGTGAGTGGAATGGAGTAATTAAATTCAGTCTCCCCTGTCTCAGAGGTTTATTTTTGTCTTTGTGTTTCTGGTATCTAGCATAGTGCATTGCATGTTTAAAAATAATTTTATTCATATCTTCTGGTTTGACATTACCTATGTTCTTATATTTCTCACTGTATCTTCCTCCTCCACCTACCAGATTCATCCCTTATGATAAATATATAATCTCTTTGGGGGCCAACTTGGTCATTCTAATTTTGAAGCATTTAGTATTTGAAGCATTTAGTTTAGCATTTTGTTGTTCTTTCCATTTACTTTGCCAGAGTCATCATGTATACTGTTTTCTTGATGCTAATTATATAATTTTGCATTAATTCATATAAATCTTCTTTTGCTTTTCTATAGTCAACGGATTCATCATTTCTTGCAGCATGATAATGTTCTATTACATTCATACATCATACCTTGTTTAGCCATTCTCCAATCAATGAGATTCTACTTTATTTCCAGTTATTTCTGTCAAAAAAAAATGCTGCTATAAATAGTGCATATATAGCCTTTTCTCTTTTTTTTTTAATCATTGATCTTGACAGAATATGCCTAGTTCAATGTTTGCATCAACTGGTATAGATATTTTAGCAAAATTACTTTTTTCTGGGTATTTTAATCCTTTTATTAATAGGGCCAGCAAGTTTATTAATAAATGGATTGTCATTTGGCTGTCTCTTAGACCAAAGACCCCTCATTGGGGTGGACTCACAGTTTATATGGCCTTGGAAGAGCAAGTGTTCCTGAGAGTAGCAATCAACTGTGATAACAGTGAGGGTCTTGGGGTATGTGACTGAGATCACCCAAATCTTATCAATTTCCTTATAACCTTTTAATGACATTCTTTACGTAATCTGAAGTTGATTTCTAAAATGGCTGTATTAATTCACAGCTTTGCTCACAATGCATTGGTATGCCTATCTCTTCACACCCCTCCAACATTGACTATTTCTTTTTATTGTTATCCTTTCTGAGGTAGTTAGGTGGTTTAGTGGAGTACATACCAGAAGTTGGAAAGACCTGAGTTAAAATTCAGCTGTAGTCACCACTCGTGTACACCTGGTCATATTGGATAACTTCACTCTGCATTAGTTTCATCATATATAAAGTGGGGATAATAATAGCTTTTACTTTGCAGGGTTGTTGGGGGATAAAATGAAGTATCATATGTACATTAACAAGCCTTAAAAATGTTACATAAATATTTGCTATTAATTTTATTATCTTTTATAAATGGCTGGGTATGAAATTCAGTCTCAGGGTTATTTTAATTTTTTCCTTTATTATTAGTTATTTTAATCATTTTTTCAAATTGTTATAGTTTGCAATTTTTTTAGCAACTGTTCACATCCTTTCACCATTTTTGAAATGTTTTTGAACTTATATTTCTGTTAGCTATCTAAATTTGGGGGCAGCTGGGTGGTGCAGTAGATAGAACACTGGGCATGGAGTCAGTCAGGAAGACTCATCTTCATGAGTTCAAATCTAGCTTCAGACACTTGCTAGCCATGTGACCCTGGACAAGTCACTTAGCTCTGTTTGCCTAGGTTTCCTCATCTGTTAAATGAGCTGGAGAAGAAAATGGCAAACCACTCTAATATCTTTGCCAAGAAAACTCCAAATGGGGTCATGAAGAGTCAGATGTGACTAAAATGAATGAATAACAGCATCTGTATTTCATTGTATTCAAATATGGCAACTGAACTAGAAAAAATTATAATTAGTACCCAATACATTCTTGATTTTACCAGCAGTATTCCATGTACCACAAATTCTCATAATCCACCCAGTGTAAAATAGAGATTTGCCTAAGAGTATACACTGATGTCCCCACACCCCAAATCTTAAAACACACCCTCGAATAACCCAAGGAACTATATGACCCCATTCACAAGCACTAGTACTCATTATCTTCCTGAGCTATATGACAAGTTAATCACTCTTTCCATATGTAATACCATGAATCAGTAAAATATACATTTATACTCTGGCCACATCATTTTCCATACGTGACACACTCCATTTCAGTACACTCATCACTAACACTGAGGAGTTGACTTCTAACCAAATCGGTGCTAACATTTAACCATGTCAAGAAAACTTCTAATATTTTCATATATTCTAGTGATTAATTTGCTACTATGGACAGGTAGCAACTTTCTTCATCCCAGGACACAAATTTCATTAAGATTCTAATGTCTATTATTTAGAAGTCATCTCTGTATTTTAGAGATGAGTGAACAACTCCCTAGAAATGTTAAGTGACTTGCCCAATATCACACATCCACATTCTTGTGTTATTTTACTTTCTTCTCTTTCTTTCTGAAAAAAAAAAAGAGAAAAGAAAAGAAATCACTTTTAAAATGAGGAAAAAGTTTTTCTCACTTACAGTTTTAGAATTAGATATAAATGATCTTTACAGGTCTGCTGGTACATTCCCTCCCCTGACTGCCATCACATTTTGTAGGTGAGTAAACTGAGGACCACAAAGGTTACCTGAGCTATTCAATGAAATGTATCTAATTTTAGAGGGTGGATTCAAACTCACATCCTCTGACTCCAGATGGGTCATTTTTTTATTGAATCACATTCGCCTCTTACTAAGTTTGTTTTTGTGTTTAGAGATTCAAGATTGTATTTGTGTTGATTTATTCAAATTCAGCAGTTCTTATCATAAGCAAATGACAAGAATTAAAAGCTGAAGCCCCTTTCAAGTTTTTAAAGGAAGCAGTGTTGTGCCTTTGGATGTTTAGAATTTTTAACACGTTAATAGATTATGTTTTATGGATTTTCTCTCATCAATATTTTGAACCAAACTGAAAGACTAGGGAGGAATCTAATTTTTTTTTTACTTTGGCATTAGGCAGAATGTTAAATTTCTACATCATGCAATATTGTCCATCTTTCAGAATAACAAAATGTGCTCCCATTTGTGGTTGACATCAATCAATAAATAATGAAATGTCCCACTTAGAGAAAATTTCCTGTGCACTCAAAGCTATATTTTCAAAATATAGATTAGTATAATTTATTATAGGTATCATTCTCTTTTCCTTTATTTTAAAAACTAAGTTCCTAGATTGAATATAATGTGCATGAGGACATCTTGTGTTCAGGAAAAATCAATGACTTTGTTTAAACTAATGAATTAAA